CGCCATCATAACAGAGAAACCACTCGCCAGAATCATTCATCGTCACAGGCGGCGGCGAGGGGTTCACGGCGGCAGTCACCCGGAGCAGACAAGCAGCAATCCGCAAAGCAACGACTTGTCGGAGAAGTGGGGGCCCCCGCGCGCGACGCAGGAAGTACATCCAAATTGATCGCAATTTCTAAAGACACCAGATCCCGTGACCTCGGAGGAAACGACACAACAGCAACATTATTTTCACCACGATCTTGAGCCTGCAAAATTAAAGCAGAGAAGCCCGCTATCAGGAGGGGGGGCGCTGTAGGCTTCGGGTGGGAGGGGTGATTGAGGAAGGCGTGGCAATGGCAGCTGGCTTCAGCTTCAACACCAGTCAGGCTTGACGCCCTGTCCAACGTTGAGTCTCTCCCGATGTTGTCTCGAGCGGCTGGCTCACGCTTGCTCGTGGTTTGCTGCTGCCAGCCGCGATGCAAAAGGCAGACCACACGCACAACCCGCAGAGAACTTGTCCAAAAGGTGATGCGGCGGTACCGAGAGCCACGACGGTGCTTCAGCGACGCAAAGCTGGTGGCCTTGTTCGAGCTCAACGTGCACTGGAATCGTTGCGCGTTGTGCACGAGCACAGAGAGGATCGAGGCCAGCGAAGCGCTGGCTGCGGGTAGCCTGAGCGCCGGTTAAGGAATCCCAGCCTCGTCAGTACGAAAGAGTAGTTTTAGTCACGGGAGGTCTGCTTTCAGCGACTACAAAGTACGTGTTGAGCGAGGTTCGACCGACGAAGATCCTGTGCACTCTAGCTTTGCCGACAGCTAGGCAAGTCTCTTTCCCAACAGCGGCGTCCGAGACAAAGCAGCAGTGGTCGGTCCTCCTGCTTTAGATCACGTGACATCCTAGATGAACAGCAGCGAAAAGCTAACGCTGATTGTGTCGTATTATAGTAGAAAAGTCTAAAAGCAAGGGCACTTGTAATGGCGCTACACCAGCAGCTGAAGTTTTCACAGACAGAAGTCACACACAGCGCTTTGTTTCATCCTCCATTTTGAGCATGATTCGCCACTGTCATCGGTATGGATTTTGGTCAAGACAAAGCTGCAGAGTGACGTGGTGTGCCCTTTTGATCGCTTGCTCGAGGTGCAGACAAAGCTTGCCGTTTTGCACACGTCACAGACTGAATAAAGGAGACACGCAACCTGTGACGGATGTGTTAGTCAGCATCTAACGTGGGCAAGGTTGTCCAACATAACTATCTTCACCAAGAACGGGTCGACGCCACGCAAGATTGCCGAGAGCGACAACTTCAATACATTTTTTGCATCCTGACACCTACCCCAATATGCAGTGTCAACAGGATTGGCAGAGATCTTGCTTTCTAGTGTTTCTTTTGCCACTGTGTCTGCTGGGATATATGTCAATTAATAACAAAGCATGTATATGTAACCCCACCGCTAGAATTACCTCTGACAGCAAGAGAAGCAGCATCAAGCACAACATCCATATTCTTGTAGCCACTTTCGTCACTTGGAGTGGGATCTGGAGCTGGGTAAAAGACATAAGACAGAAATGAGGGCAGAAGATGATATCATGCACTCAAAACGTCAACCCTACACGCACAGCACCCACCGATTGGCAACTTCGTTTTCGCTCGTGGTTGTGAGTCTGGTCTATTTGGAATAAGCAACAAGACTAGTCACGAAACGCTCAACTTGACCTTTGGCGTTAGTCTTCGTCTTGAAAAAAACCACTTGCTGTGCAACGCATTGCTGTCTTGAGGTCGCTTGATGACACCGAATTTTTCAAGCCCGCGTCAAGGCGTCAATTTCTTATCCATTGTCTTATTCTATCTCAGTGATTTAAAGATCTTTACCACTTCAACGTATAATTCTTTGATTATTTTGTTAACAATACAATTAATTTGATTACGCTAGGCAATAAGGTGCACCGCGTCCTGAGCTATCTCCTTCTGCTCTTCAGCATTCACCGATGATCTTGTTGTCGAACGTGTCTTGTGCCTTGATCGCTGCCCTGTTTCCATGCTTATTTTTTTGCTCTTTTATCGCAAGCCACATGGTCAGCTTGACTTTACAGACATTCTCGACCTCTTCACTACTACTGGAAAGCGATAGTCGATACGATAAAGTTGCAAATTAATCAAAGTGCTAAAACTCCGCTAGCCAAATTCGTTCGTTCGATCAATTGTTTAACACTGTCGTACAAAGCTTGTTCAGATGTGAACTTATTCTAATTATTAAGAGATAAGTTTGAACAAATATGAAACACACATTCACTTCATATCGTCATTTAAAAAAAACAAAACTGTCAATTGCTCAGACGGTTATATATGACGTATAGACGCATATGAAAATATTTGAGTGAAATCATACCTTCTCGGCTTTTTAGCTAAGATCAAGTGTAGTATCTGTTCTAATCAGTGTGAAAACTGGTTTTCCGACTTTAAGTTGGAATCTTTTCACATTTATTTTTGCACATTTCTGGATATCTAGCTTGCTAGATATTTAGAAACGGTCTCCGAGAGCTTTCACCCTTCTCTCGTGAGGCCAGCATTATACTTGGTTCTTTTCTACAAATACCTTCTTTCCGCCGCCACTACATCCACTCATACCTTTCCGGCTTTTTAGCTAAGATTAAGTGTAGCATCTTAAATCTCAACCGAAACCACTCGGTCACCACTATTCATACTTAGTATACGATTTTGGAGGGGAACCTCGGGAACACTCGCCGTCTTTGGACAGCGAGTTTTCTACCGATAGACAGTCCAGTCTCGGCAGTGATGCGTCTTATATAGCGCAGCTTTTGAGACACAGACAGGCGGAGTGATGGACCAACTGGCTCCAACTGACTCTTTAGTCAGTTGGCCAGATTCCCAGTTAGAGCAGTCGTTTGCTCTTTCTGGCGAATCAGATCCACCATCTGAACCTTTGGTGGATCTGATTGGTCAAAATGGGGATATTTCGGGGCCTCTCATTTTTGCCCCTGTTTTAAATCGGGCAGAGCCGGCTTTGGCATCGTCTGCCTCGCCCCTTGGCTCGCCCGCACCCCCTATACTTGGTCTAAGTATAGGGGGTTGCAACCCCCTCCCCCCTTCCCCCCTCGGCTTGCATGGCGAGGGTGTGGCTACTGCAGGCCCTGGATCGGGCGTGAGCCCCCCCGCCGGGCGACCAAGCTCGCCGTTTGGCTCCTGCTGAAGGTCAAGCGCGCCTGTTGACGGACTCTTCCAGCCTTGTGGGGTGTTCTTCGGCTGTAGGCGCGCCTGTTGGCTTCAATTTTTTGTTGGATTGACCCAGCAGGGCGGCAGGCATGCTGCCCGACCGGGTCCAAAATGACCACGCTCAAAGCTACGGCTCCCCGGGGCTAGCACGATCCCCCCGGGCTCTCCAACGTGCCGTATGGCTCTTTACTAGGTAGGGCATGCTTCTGCGGGTCATCGCGCGCCGTTTGGCGTTCCTGGTGATGGTATTAGGCCCGGCAGGGTGGCAGAAATGCTGTTCGAGCGGGTCCATGACCTACAAGCTCAGAGCAACAGCTCCCCGGGTGCCTACGACCAGCATCCGGGTTCTCCATCGCGCCTTTTGGCCCCTCACTCCCCTGTCCTCGTGCTCGGCCTCGCCCTCACTCCTGCCTTTCGTGTCAGACTGTCTGGCAGGGTGGGTGGTAGGCTGCTCGGTGTTGGGCAGTCAGGGGCAGTGCTTGCCGCTGCTACGGCTTGCGCTCTGGGTGCCTCCCAGGGCCCCAGCAACCTCGAGGACGGGTCAAGTGATGCCGACTCGTGCTCCTCGGCTACGGACTCCACTTCGCCAGGCACGGGGGTCTTTGAGATCCAGCGAATGTTCAGTGCTCACCCGGCAGGGCGGCAGGCATGCTTCCCGCGGGTGGTGCGCTCAAAACGATGGCCTGAGCGGCAAGGACGATGTCGCACAGGGTCTACGCATCCTTCCCTCTCCCCATCTCCCCAGTGGCTTACGGGACCCTGTGCTGACGGTGTTCGCACACAACGCTTCCGCATTCAGTTGCGCGGTGTGTGTGCATACTTGTGGAGATCTCGCCGCGCTCGCTGGCCATCGGCGCACAGCGCATCGTTCCACCCGCTTCGTGGATCATTTCCACAGCGGGTGCACGTGCGGCATCGGGTTCCGGTCACGTGCGGCGGCAACCAAGCACGATATGGCGTGCAAAGACAGCTTCTACGCCGCCGTGGACGCTGCACCTGACTCAGTCCTCCACCTCGTGTTGGACTCTTCGTCGCCTCTTTGGTTCTGTTTGGTCTGCTCCGCGCCGTGAGGTTGACCCTCCCTCCTTCGGATCTCTCAGCGCGGCGGCGCCTGGGGTCGTGGCAGTCACACCAAGCGGCACCACGGATGCAGATGCCGCCACCCTTCAGAGCTCCGTGCCTCCCGTTGCTGCTCCTGACGGGGACCGTTGCGTCCCCCCCGTGCGGTGCCCTACAACTTTGCCCCCCACCCATGGAGCCCACAGTGTTTTCCCTGCTTGTGAGCTTATCTGCGTTGGTCTTACAAGTTTATGATCGTGGTAAAGATGACACCTTGATCCCGTCTGTTTGGTGTCTAGTCAACGTGTTCTCGTTTTAGCGGATTTTTTTGGTTTGCCTACTATAACAAAATCCTATGTTAGGCTTGGTTTATTGAAACAAGGTCTAGGTTAGGACTATCTATTTAAACGAGGCTTAGGTTAGGACTGTCTATTCAAACAAGGTTCATTTTAGGCATATCTATTTTTACAGTGCCTTGTTTAGGATATCATGTATTATCACATGTTCTAGCGCTGAGACTGGGGTGACAACGGACAGTCATCTAGTAAAGTTTATTTTCTACGTCTCCATTAAAATTTCACAAAATTAAATTTGTAGCAGCAAAAGACGGCTACATCGTGGTGCCCCTGCTCAACATTGAATGTTTCGAACGGCACAAATTTGTAGGGTAACTGAAAAGCGCTGTCGTCTTAACGACGCTTCCGTTACCCCGATTGACCCGAATCTAAGTGTTGCTATGCAGGTTTATGATCAAGTACCACGGTCCAAGATTATGCTCTCGTTGCTCTATCTTCTGCTTCCGATACTCAAGCTTCTGCTTTCGATGCTCAATCTTCTGCCTCCGATGCTCAAGCTCCTGCTTAAGTCGATTAAGAATTAGTTTTGTATGCTCACGTTGTACACATGCAAGCTGCTGTCGGGTCCTCATTACACTGCGAGTCGGCCAACCGTACTCGTAGAGGATTTCGCTACCGCAAAGTGGCTGTGCGATCGATAACATGATCTGAGGAGGTTGCTGCTCCGTCAGCACGCAGACAGCTGACACCTACCGCGCCTGGCACTTGTGCAACGCGGCTAACGCGAAGCTCCGTGCGACCATGATGTCCATTCTTAGGCAAGCTAGAGTGCGCTCGATGATCTTCAGATGGTCGTCGTGACGACCACGTATAGCATCCATTGTACCCGGGCAGTGGTTGAGAACATGGGCGAGCGACTTTTTCCACCTGCAGCCCGGGTACCGGCATCGAGCATGAGCACGGAGGCGTCGACGCGAGAGAACATCACTGTATCCAGCATATCTAGTCGAGCGGCGATATCAAAACGGTAATCGCTTCCCCACATACCGCGTGGACGAGTCAAGAAGCCACTGCCCAAACCACCATGAGCACGGGCCGTCTTTCCCTGGTCCTTGTGGGCACACCAAGCTTTCCAGCGCAAGAGCTTCATATGCTGCCTCACCTGCCGGAGAACATTGCGGTGCTCCAAATAACCCGCATGGTGAGGCACGCGAAGCTGCAGTAGCTGAGTAGGTGTCCCGGAGCCGGTGTTGGCAGGTCTGTCTCCATCGTAATACCATAATGTTTTAAATTATTGCGGACGTCGACCCACATAGACGCTATATAAGCATACTACCGCTTCGGTGGAGCGTAGGCCGACGTCCCGAGAGTTCCAGCGAGAAAAACTTACAGAGTTCATCACGTCGACCTTTCCAATAATCTTAATCTAAACGGTGGCGCACGTGAGCAATCTGGTATATTTGCTCACGTGCAAACACGCCGCACCGCCGGGTCAGCAGAGTGGGGCATCTGCCACTCATGTGCAATCTGCAGCGCGGCATGGTACTCCACCAGAGTCGTAAGACCCAAACCTCCATGAAAAATCGGCGCGTAGAAAAAATCATTATTCGCGTTCTTGGCAGCCGGAGTAAGTGGCAAAGCCCACGGCAAAGGTGGACGTCAAAACGCTCCAAGTGCTGATCGTCTGGCCGCAAATGCCGAAGTGCATGTTCCACACGGGGGTATAAGTATACCTTGACCGCCTTCAACACTTGCCAAGGCGCCAGACCGATTACATCAGTGCCGTCGCATCTTGCTTAAGCAACTTGAGGAGTGGTAGCACGTCCAAGCTCCGTTGTACATGATCAAAACCGTCCCCAATCCTCAAATATGTATACGACTGCGAAAGCGTCATAGTAGGGATTGGGATGTTATCGAGCGACAAACTGAGGTCGTCGGACTCTGTGGAGCCGTGTGCAGTGCGCCGTACACCCATACTGCGACATTTGGCGGGTTGGCCGCCATGCCAGTCCAATGTAAGAAACGAAACACCAATCCATGCTGCTCCACAATTCCATCCTTCGAATCGGAAAAATTTTCAGGTCGTCGGCGTGAGCCGTTTCCCTAGGGCGATCATTACTGGAAAGCTGGACCCCGGATGTCTGCAGCCGATCCAGTGCGTGCAATAGGGGACTGATTGCCGCGGAGAACCGGTGCGGGATCAGTGGACACCCCTGAAAAACACCAACACGCTGTTGAATCAGCGCCGTCGAACCATCCACAGCATTCCCAACCACAAAAGCCGCAATGGAGTGAAAGCCTTGGCACATCGTAATATATTCCACCGGTACACCCGTCCGAGCCAGGACATCCCATAATAACGAAAGAGGTACACTTCCAAACGCATTACGAAAGTCGTACCACACTTCGTAGAGCGGGCAGTGCTTGCGGCGAGCACTGTCAATCAGCGTGGCTGCGAGAAAATTGTGTTCCTCGCATCCATTGACCGCACGAAAACCCTTTTGGCCGGGTGCGTGGCGATCGTTTGCATCCAACCACCGCGCCAGCCGCCGCGCCATAACCCCTGTATACAGCTTGTAAATTGTCTGCTGGAGGCAAATGGGTCTCCAATTGGCCGGGTCGTCCCGCGCACCTTTCTTGTGTTCCAGCGAAACCAAACCCAGCTTCCAACTCTGTAGGACCATTTTGTGTTTCCAGCAGCATGTAAATGTTGCCGTGAGAACAGAAAGTAGCTGGCAAGAAAAACGCTGCTAAATACCGTAGCCAACTCCATCGAGATCAGAACTGGAAGCGCCGCGCGCATGCTGCAGTTGGTCTTCGATATCTCCAGCCGTTGGCGGACCTGTCAGCAGCTCTAAAAGCTGCGTCGCAACAGGCAGACGTCCCATTGCGTCTCGAAATACCGCGCCAGACGGGGTCTCAGCATTGAAAGGGTGCCGAGGCGTGGCTACCCCATCAAAGAACCTCCAGTTCATCGCTGAAAATTGGACAGAGTTCATCATCAACCCCCGTCACTGGAGTCACCGACGGAGAGGAAGCAGTAGCAGTCACGGGAGGCTCCGCCCGTTGTTCACGAGTAACACGGGCTGCGGATAAAACTCCCTCCACACACGGCTTCTCGTCGGTGTCAAATTTGTGCCGCAGAGCGTGCTGAGTAGGGCTGAGCGGATTCGACCAACCCGCCTGCGTGCTTTGTTAATCGCCGGACTATCGTGGGGCCGAGAACTCTCCAGGACATGAAGTTCGTCCAACGCCTCATTCATTCGGTGGTCTCGGTGGTGTGTGGCCATCTGCGGGGGGAGCGGAAGTTTCCTCTTGCGTTGTCGGGTGCCACCACTACGCGTGCCGGGTTAGCGAGGATGCCGACGCTGTTTCCTTTCCTTCTTGCGACCACGGCGGCGGCGCCAGCGCTCCACAGGGACATCCCCGGCTGACTCCACAGGCGAAAAATTCTGTGTTGCCATCTGTGGGCCGTAAAGCCACACCCTGGCGACGTCGGAGTCCCCGGAGACGGGCAATACCCGAAGGCGAAGATATACCACCGGTACCAGTACGTAACTGGGTGAACGGCTGCAACTTGCTGTACAGCAAGTGCGGGAGGGCCAAAATGTAGCCCTCAGCTGTCACCCAGACACTGGCGTCTGAGATCTTCGCTGCCAAGGCAGCACCCAAGCTCCCGACCACTTCACTCGCCACCTCCACTTCCTGTTTAGTTAATTTACGGAGGCGGAGTCGTGGGCGGCGAGCTGGAATTTCTGTGGTCCCACCTGCATGGGGGCATAGACCTCCCTATCGTCAAGATCGGCAGGGTGTCAGAGGCAACCGGGGCAGAAGCCATAGCAACATCAAAATCGCCACACTCCGATTCTCGCCACCAACTGGATCACGAGTGCAACCGGTGCCATCAGTATGCACTCCACATACAAAGACCGGACGCCGCCGATCGAGGGCCTGGTTGGCAGTGCGGTCTGCATGGATAGTCGCCTGGCGATCGATGTGGTGAAGGGATACGTGCCAGCTCACGCGACCTCACCCTTCACCGCGTCCCACAGACGCCGCAGCCGGGTGCGGCGCGTCGCAAAAATCCCACAAACTTGGCGGATGACCAGGGTGCTGTCACCTTTCACCCGTAACTTCTTCAGTCCATTGTCCGCGGCAGTCCGTACACGAAGAAGTAATGCCGCGTAGTCTGACGTGTTGTTCGTCTCAGCACTGCTCGGCATATAGTGGGACCCTCCCTGTCCACACGACGGGGCCACTGGGGTTGAACAGCGCCGCACTAGCACCGCCGAGACCTGGATTCCAGCGACAGGCGCCATCATAACAGAGAAACCACTCGCCAGAATCATTCATCGTCACAGGCGGCGGCGAGGGGTTCACGGCGGCAGTCACCCGGAGCAGACAAGCAGCAATCCGCAAAGCAACGACTTGTCGGAGAAGTGGGGGCCCCCGCGCGCGACGCAGGAAGTACATCCAAATTGATCGCAATTTCTAAAGACACCAGATCCCGTGACCTCGGAGGAAACGACACAACAGCAACATTATTTTCACCACGATCTTGAGCCTGCAAAATTAAAGCAGAGAAGCCCGCTATCAGGAGGGGGGGCGCTGTAGGCTTCGGGTGGGAGGGGTGATTGAGGAAGGCGTGGCAATGGCAGCTGGCTTCAGCTTCAACACCAGTCAGGCTTGACGCCCTGTCCAACGTTGAGTCTCTCCCGATGTTGTCTCGAGCGGCTGGCTCACGCTTGCTCGTGGTTTGCTGCTGCCAGCCGCGATGCAAAAGGCAGACCACACGCACAACCCGCAGAGAACTTGTCCAAAAGGTGATGCGGCGGTACCGAGAGCCACGACGGTGCTTCAGCGACGCAAAGCTGGTGGCCTTGTTCGAGCTCAACGTGCACTGGAATCGTTGCGCGTTGTGCACGAGCACAGAGAGGATCGAGGCCAGCGAAGCGCTGGCTGCGGGTAGCCTGAGCGCCGGTTAAGGAATCCCAGCCTCGTCAGTACGAAAGAGTAGTTTTAGTCACGGGAGGTCTGCTTTCAGCGACTACAAAGTACGTGTTGAGCGAGGTTCGACCGACGAAGATCCTGTGCACTCTAGCTTTGCCGACAGCTAGGCAAGTCTCTTTCCCAACAGCGGCGTCCGAGACAAAGCAGCAGTGGTCGGTCCTCCTGCTTTAGATCACGTGACATCCTAGATGAACAGCAGCGAAAAGCTAACGCTGATTGTGTCGTATTATAGTAGAAAAGTCTAAAAGCAAGGGCACTTGTAATGGCGCTACACCAGCAGCTGAAGTTTTCACAGACAGAAGTCACACACAGCGCTTTGTTTCATCCTCCATTTTGAGCATGATTCGCCACTGTCATCGGTATGGATTTTGGTCAAGACAAAGCTGCAGAGTGACGTGGTGTGCCCTTTTGATCGCTTGCTCGAGGTGCAGACAAAGCTTGCCGTTTTGCACACGTCACAGACTGAATAAAGGAGACACGCAACCTGTGACGGATGTGTTAGTCAGCATCTAACGTGGGCAAGGTTGTCCAACATAACTATCTTCACCAAGAACGGGTCGACGCCACGCAAGATTGCCGAGAGCGACAACTTCAATACATTTTTTGCATCCTGACACCTACCCCAATATGCAGTGTCAACAGGATTGGCAGAGATCTTGCTTTCTAGTGTTTCTTTTGCCACTGTGTCTGCTGGGATATATGTCAATTAATAACAAAGCATGTATATGTAACCCCACCGCTAGAATTACCTCTGACAGCAAGAGAAGCAGCATCAAGCACAACATCCATATTCTTGTAGCCACTTTCGTCACTTGGAGTGGGATCTGGAGCTGGGTAAAAGACATAAGACAGAAATGAGGGCAGAAGATGATATCATGCACTCAAAACGTCAACCCTACACGCACAGCACCCACCGATTGGCAACTTCGTTTTCGCTCGTGGTTGTGAGTCTGGTCTATTTGGAATAAGCAACAAGACTAGTCACGAAACGCTCAACTTGACCTTTGGCGTTAGTCTTCGTCTTGAAAAAAACCACTTGCTGTGCAACGCATTGCTGTCTTGAGGTCGCTTGATGACACCGAATTTTTCAAGCCCGCGTCAAGGCGTCAATTTCTTATCCATTGTCTTATTCTATCTCAGTGATTTAAAGATCTTTACCACTTCAACGTATAATTCTTTGATTATTTTGTTAACAATACAATTAATTTGATTACGCTAGGCAATAAGGTGCACCGCGTCCTGAGCTATCTCCTTCTGCTCTTCAGCATTCACCGATGATCTTGTTGTCGAACGTGTCTTGTGCCTTGATCGCTGCCCTGTTTCCATGCTTATTTTTTTGCTCTTTTATCGCAAGCCACATGGTCAGCTTGACTTTACAGACATTCTCGACCTCTTCACTACTACTGGAAAGCGATAGTCGATACGATAAAGTTGCAAATTAATCAAAGTGCTAAAACTCCGCTAGCCAAATTCGTTCGTTCGATCAATTGTTTAACACTGTCGTACAAAGCTTGTTCAGATGTGAACTTATTCTAATTATTAAGAGATAAGTTTGAGCAAATATGAAACACACATTCACTTCATATCGTCATTTAAAAAAAACAAAACTGTCAATTGCTCAGACGGTTATATATGACGTATAGACGCATATGAAAATATTTGAGTGAAATCATACCTTCTCGGCTTTTTAGCTAAGATCAAGTGTAGTATCTGTTCTAATCAGTGTGAAAACTGGTTTTCCGACTTTAAGTTGGAATCTTTTCACATTTATTTTTGCACATTTCTGGATATCTAGCTTGCTAGATATTTAGAAACGGTCTCCGAGAGCTTTCACCCTTCTCTCGTGAGGCCAGCATTATACTTGGTTCTTTTCTACAAATACCTTCTTTCCGCCGCCACTACATCCACTCATACCTTCCCGGCTTTTTAGCTAAGATTAAGTGTAGCATCTTAAATCTCAACCGAAACCACTCGGTCACCACTATTCATACTTAGTATACGATTTTGGAGGGGAACCTCGGGAACACTCGCCGTCTTTGGACAGCGAGTTTTCTACCGATAGCCAGTCCAGTCTCGGCAGTGATGCGTCTTATATAGCGCAGCTTTTGAGACACAGACAGGCGGAGTGATGGACCAACTGGCTCCAACTGACTCTTTAGTCAGTTGGCCAGATTCCCAGTTAGAGCAGTCGTTTGCTCTTTCTGGCGAATCAGATCCACCATCTGAACCTTTGGTGGATCTGATTGGTCAAAATGGGGATATTTCGGGGCCTCTCATTTTTGCCCCTGTTTTAAATCGGGCAGAGCCGGCTTTGGCATCGTCTGCCTCGCCCCTTGGCTCGCCCGCACCCCCTATACTTGGTCTAAGTATAGGGGGTTGCAACCCCCTCCCCCTTCCCCCCTCGGCTTGCATGGCGAGGGTGTGGCTACTGCAGGCCCTGGATCGGGCGTGAGCCCCCCGCCGGGCGACCAAGCTCGCCGTTTGGCTCCTGCTGAAGGTCAAGCGCGCCTGTTGACGGACTCTTCCAGCCTTGTGGGGTGTTCTTCGGCTGTAGGCGCGCCTGTTGGCTTCAATTTTTTGTTGGATTGACCCAGCAGGGCGGCAGGCATGCTGCCCGACCGGGTCCAAAATGACCACGCTCAAAGCTACGGCTCCCCGGGGCTAGCACGATCCCCCCGGGCTCTCCAACGTGCCGTATGGCTCTTTACTAGGTAGGGCATGCTTCTGCGGGTCATCGCGCGCCGTTTGGCGTTCCTGGTGATGGTATTAGGCCCGGCAGGGTGGCAGAAATGCTGTTCGAGCGGGTCCATGACCTACAAGCTCAGAGCAACAGCTCCCCGGGTGCCTACGACCAGCATCCGGGTTCTCCATCGCGCCTTTTGGCCCCTCACTCCCCTGTCCTCGTGCTCGGCCTCGCCCTCACTCCTGCCTTTCGTGTCAGACTGTCTGGCAGGGTGGGTGGTAGGCTGCTCGGTGTTGGGCAGTCAGGGGCAGTGCTTGCCGCTGCTACGGCTTGCGCTCTGGGTGCCTCCCATGGCCCCAGCAACCTCGAGGACGGGTCAAGTGATGCCGACTCGTGCTCCTCGGCTACGGACTCCACTTCGCCAGGCACGGGGGTCTTTGAGATCCAGCGAATGTTCAGTGCTCACCCGGCAGGGCGGCAGGCATGCTTCCCGCGGGTGGTGCGCTCAAAACGATGGCCTGAGCGGCAAGGACGATGTCGCACAGGGTCTACGCATCCTTCCCTCTCCCCATCTCCCCAGTGGCTTACGGGACCCTGTGCTGACGGTGTTCGCACACAACGCTTCCGCATTCAGTTGCGCGGTGTGTGTGCATACTTGTGGAGATCTCGCCGCGCTCGCTGGCCATCGGCGCACAGCGCATCGTTCCACCCGCTTCGTGGATCATTTCCACAGCGGGTGCACGTGCGGCATCGGGTTCCGGTCACGTGCGGCGGCAACCAAGCACGCTATGGCGTGCAAAGACAGCTTCTACGCCGCCGTGGACGCTGCACCTGACTCAGTCCTCCACCTCGTGTTGGACTCTTCGTCGCCTCTTTGGTTCTGTTTGGTCTGCTCCGCGCCGTGAGGTTGACCCTCCCTCCTTCGGATCTCTCAGCGCGGCGGCGCCTGGGGTCGTGGCAGTCACACCAAGCGGCACCACGGATGCAGATGCCGCCACCCTTCAGAGCTCCGTGCCTCCCGTTGCTGCTCCTGACGGGGACCGTTGCGCCCCCCCGTGCGGTGCCCTACAACTTTGCCCCCACCCATGGAGCCCACAGTGTTTTCCCTGCTTGTGAGCTTATCTGCGTTGGTCTTACAAGTTTATGATCGTGGTAAAGATGACACCTTGATCCCGTCTGTTTGGTGTCTAGTCAACGTGTTCTCGTTTTAGCGGATTTTTTTGGTTTGCCTACTATAACAAAATCCTATGTTAGGCTTGGTTTATTGAAACAAGGTCTAGGTTAGGACTATCTATTTAAACGAGGCTTAGGTTAGGACTGTCTATTCAAACAAGGTTCATTTTAGGCATATCTATTTTTACAGTGCCTTGTTTAGGATATCATGTATTATCACATGTTCTAGCGCTGAGACTGGGGTGACAACGGACAGTCATCTAGTAAAGCTTATTTTCTACGTCTCCATTAAAATTTCACAAAATTAAATTTGTAGCAGCAAAAGACGGCTACATCGTGGTGCCCCCTGCTCAACATTGAATGTTTCGAACGGCACAAATTTGTAGGGTAACTGAAAAGCGCTGTCGTCTTAACGACGCTTCCGTTACCCCGATTGACCCGAATCTAAGTGTTGCTATGCAGGTGTATGATCAAGTACCACGG